GGAGGACAGGGTTTTCCATTATTAAAATCCCTTCAAGGGCTGCATTTGCTACAGTCTTAGCTTACTGTTCATCTGGATAGCTGAAAAAATTGTTAAAACTAAAAATGAGAAGGACTTTTCTGAATCATAAATCCTAAACCAGATTATAAATATAGTGTATTGCATAAACTTTGTAAAATATTAGCATAGGAAGAGCTGTGATTTTGTCTTTCCAGTTTAAAAATACAATTAGCTAAACGCAGAAAAGCACAGCTCTTGTAATTACATCCTGGTGATTATTTTTTCTTTTTCCATTTGAATATTAATGGCATGTATTGCTGTATATTTGAACACAACTGAACGTTTCAAACAAAATACAGTTGGCTTGTTTTCTCAATAGAAATACTGATGCAAAATTGTACTGAATTAGCAAGGGGTTAGGCAGGAATAGCAACTACACCAGCATCCTCAGATGAAACATGGGGTTGGCAGGCTACAGTAAAAGCAGTGATAAACCAACCTCTCCCTCTCTGCATTCACCCTCAGACAGGATGGGTCTTGCCATCGGCACAGAAACTTTGACTGGGTTTGTGGTTTCCTGGATTACAGGGAATCCACACACTCATTGCTGAATACCCAGTAAAGCCTCCTTGCTTCCAGCACCTCTCAGGCTTGTTCATATGGATGCTCCCTGTTCTGCTCTGGAGTCTCCCCATCCTGAATATTAACAGGTTCATCTTCTAAAAAATTACAAGAAATTACAATATGTTTACTGCAACAGTAGGAACTAATGACCAGTTTGCAGCTGCATAGCCTTAGATGGCTTCAGTGCTTCATGGAGTGCAGATACTATAAAATCCCTGTTTTATTCTTAAACTGAGCTACAGTCATAAATCAGAATTACGCTAAGGTTCTGTTCTGATGTAGCAGATGTGATGCTGTTGACTTCAGATGAACCTTGTCTGTGTGGATCAGCAGACTGTATACTCTAGCACTCGTTAGTAGCCCCTGAGTGGGTCAGTACCTGTATAGGGATATTTGACTGCACAAGATTAACTGTAGAATAATTTGACAGGTTTGCTACTATAGTTTTCTTGAAGGCATAACTCAACCAGCTGTTATCTAAGTTGTTCATTACGCATTAAACTCTTGTACTCTTTTGGTATTAGTTAATCTAGTCCTTCTTCTATGTCTATAATAAGCAAAACATCTGTTTCTTCTTGTTCAATCAAAGTGCCTACCTCAAGAGTCCTACTTCTAAAATAATGCCATTTAAACACAAATCCTAGATAGGGAGAATGCATTTCATTAACATATTTCATTTGCATATGAAACCAGCTTTTTCAGAACTCGGCGGGGAATTTCTGGTGACAGCAGTATGTGGTTGGGTTGTTATTTTTTTCTCAACTTCTATACCAGAAAGTTACAGTAAGGAAAAAAAAAGAATGCAAATAAATATATGTATCAGCTCAGATGAGAAAGCTCAAACTGCAATGAGAAATCATTGCTGTGCATTTGGAATGTTGTCCGTTCTAAACTTCCCAGCTGAAAATTCTTTTAAGAGAGCCTTATTCTACTCTTAATATTGAGTCTTGGTTTATAGAAGATCTCAGTTAAGCTTGACTTTAAGTCCAAGTAGAAATATACATGAGGCATGTACTAAAAGACTACAGTAATGCAGCTGTACAAACTTAGCCCCTATGGGAGAATATACTATGTATTTCAATTTAAGTCCCTGAAACAGAGCATTAACATGTTAAGGAAGGAGAGTTGACAATACTCCCCTCTATACTGTCATGCTTCTAGCAAGCAGCTTACAGAGAGCAGCAAACCCCCTTAAGTATATTTTGCTAAATGCTGTGCACACAGAAGCAATGCATGGCATTAGTTTTTGCTACAGCTCTCCTCATGTCCCCATTCCTATCTGGTCTGCTCAGATCCACCTTCCCTCAACTGGCTTCTTTCCTTGACTCACAACAACATTCATTTCTTTCAGTGTGATGCCGGTGAGCTTGGGGTGTTTTTACTGCACGCTGGGAGAGCATACCACAGATAGAAGTACCTGTGCACTTCTTAGGCTAGCATACTGTGCACCATTTTCACTTGGTATTTCAGCAGATCACATCACCTATTTCTGTGCTTTAAGAAGGTGGGAATGTTTTGGGACTTTCCAAGATGTTCAGAAGTCCATGCTGAGTTGGACAAATCTCTCCCCCAGTAAAAAAGTGTGCCAGGAACTTTAACTCACAAATTGGGTGTGACAGCAATTATGGCTTTCTCTTTTTTTTTTTTTTTTAATGTATTTTCATGGTTTAGACTACTTGTTCTACTTTTTGACAATAGATTTAGGTAGTAAAAACAAAAACAGTCATTAAAACCTTTCCTCTCCCAAGCTGAGGCTCAGCTTCAATTCCTCACTACCGTAGCTCCTACCTCCTATTCCCGAGCAGCCCTCTGGGGATGCGGGACTGTGACCGGGACACAGCGGCTTCTCTCTGCGGCTCCCGCGGCAACATCTCTGGCTCCGCGCAGGCCGCAGCTTCCTCAGGAGCTCTCCACTCGCGACCTCCGGAGGGGAGTCTCCGCGGAACCGCTGCGGGGGGCATCGGGAGCCCCTCCTGCCGCTCTGCCCTCGGGGCTGGCCGGGCCGCTCCTCGCCCTTCTCCCCTCAGCGCTCCCCGCCGGGCAGCGCCCGCCCCTCCTCAGCCGAGGCCGCGGTGCACGAGGCGCCCGCCCGCGGCCGAGGGGCTGCGCTGTTTCCCGCCGTGGGGCCGCTGGAACCGGCTGGAACCGGACTGGACTCACCTCACCTCACCTCACCTCAGGGAGACCTCGCCCGCCCCCGGCAGCGTTCAGGCACAAAACCCGGTACAAGTCCGTGCTTCAGCCGAACTGAAGGCCCTCACCGCTTAACTCACGAGTATTTCCGCTTCTCCAGAGCCTGAGGAGAACGCGAGATGTGCCTATGAACTCACAGCTCCGTTTCCTACCGCACCTGTGTGAGGTTTTGTTCCAGCTCCTGCCCAGAGGCTGGTCTGGAAGGCCTGCAGAGGCCAAACGACCCTGTGGTGTTTCGAGGCAGTGGGGCACATTTTCCATAAATAAGGGTCACCGAATAAAACAGTCACCAGCCCACAGGTGCTTACACCCAGGTGAACACAGAAAGTCAGTTTCAGCCCTGTGAGAGGTGAGATCTTTTCCTGTGGCTCTCAAAACCAGATGTGTCTTTTCTGCAAAACTAATTTCCTGCCTATTTTTGTTTCCATTCTGTCAAGTTTAGGACATTCTATCAATTTTAAGGAAAGAATCATGGATCTTTAAGGCAAAAATGAAGAATATGAAAAAAATCTCCATTTACATTAAAGGTTGATGCTGTTTGTTGTTTTGGGTTTATTTACTTCACCTGGTGAGAGTTAATGTCTCGGGCACTTTCCCTGCATATCTTAACATTTAGCAATGAAGTCTGTATAAAAGACACCACAAATAACACAGAGCTGTGGAGTATCCTTCCTCTGGCTGCAGCACTGCAGAAGGCATAAGGGCAAAAGAGGAGAAATAATGCTGGAACCAGCTGGAAAATTTGGGTTTAAGTACGTTCAGGTAAACTTAAGTGTAGTAACATATTGCAACAATTTTGTAACCCTGTAGAAAGGTATATTCTCTTTCCCGAGTTTATTAATAGTTGAAATTAATTTTATCTGGATTGTAATTGTGTGGTTTTCTGTTTCTTCTTTGTATGTCAAATGTAATGAAAACAAGAAAAAGACTTGCAAACAGAAAGCTTTTCTCATATTTAGTGTATTAGGTCTTTCATCTATTCTTACACTAGATGGAACAAGCTTTGGTAGAAACATTTCTTACTGATATATTTTTCAAGAGGCTTTTATTCACAGTAATGAATGTTCCAAGGTATAGCACTCCATGTTGAGGACTAGGTCTTGTATCTTAAACACATGGAAGCACTGGGAAAAAAATACTAATTGTTTGGGTTTATCTGTTTGCCATGACTGTTATTCCTTGTTCATAGAAGATAATAGTCTTTCCAATATTTTTAAAGTTTATCTTCCATTATACTTCTGCTGATATTTTGCATCACATTTAGTGTTAGGAACGATTTATTGCATTGTGTTGTGGTTTATTTTGGAAAATGACATTTTAGCACCTTTGTCTAGTGGATTAAACATCACTTGTAAGAGTGATGTGCTTTTACTGGAGTGTTTGCTATTTACTTGCTGACCCAACATAACTGCCTGCACAGTAATGGCCAGAACAAACTTAGTACTCACAGCTCTTCAACGACGGTTTAACTTGCAGGACAAACTGGCTTCCTGCCAGATGCTGTTGGAGACAATGTAAGGAGTATATAATTCTGTCTTTTATATAAAGGTCTGAATGAATGATCAGATCCATCTGCTTCACTGCTGTCAGTACTGGGAGGGTGGTGCTCCCTTAAGATTGCAGGTTTTGGCAGATGTTTCCTGTTTTTTCAGTGCCTCTGTGATAATGTCTTAATCTTCTGTCACTAGCACCACATCCCAATACAGGATTTGCTGTGAATATGAACCTTTCCCCTCCTATTTTTAATTTCCCTTTTCTTGGAAATATTTAGCTTTTGATAAAGGCCGCAATCAGAAGCATAATGTGCCCCTTTGGCTTGTAACTCACAGTTAAATAAATTAATATCTTTTCTTTCTGAACTTGATCATAGAAACAATTAAGAGATACTCTTTATTAGTAAAATGTAGAATATGGCCTTTTGATGGGAAAGGTGAGTAATAACATTGGTAGTTAGATACAGTTATACCTGGTAGTATGGACACTTCAGTAGTTCCAAGACTAGTATTTATGTTACAATGATATTTTTTGTGTAATAATGACTTCAACAGCAATGATTTTTTATAACACTAAAGTTATTTCCTTTCTGCAGTAGCCTTTGTTAAAAGTTATATAATGACCCTGGGTCTGAGACATAGTATATAGTGACGTAAGTAAAATGTTCCCAATGACTTTTGTTTTCTTAGGCTCTGGTCTCAATGATGGGCAGTGGCATGAAGCCCGATTCCTAGCTAAGGAAAATTTTGCTGTCCTCACCATTGATGGCGATGAAGCTTCAGCTGTTCGAACAAACAGCCCTCTACAGGTTAAGACTGGAGAGAAATACTTCTTTGGAGGTAAAAAAAATATCAACAAATATCTGCTTAAAGTGCTTTCTTCTAATCTACATAATAGGTGAAATGCAGCTCAGTTTATAATTAATTCATGTAGATCTTAATGCAAATGGTAACTTATTCTTCTTGCATGTCTATGTTAGGCCATCAGAACTCTTGGATATTTTTTTTTAATGCTCATTTAAAGTTCTATATTAAAAAGCCTATTTGGCATGTCAGAATTATTTTTCATGTGTTACTGTCCTGTAGGAGAAGGTTGTTGAGGGTTAGTTTAAACTCAAACATGTTACTTTTCATACTGCTAGCTGGTTTGGTTGGTTGTTTTTTTTTTTGAAGAACTTCTGATTCAGCAGTGATCTGAAGTCTTTGTTCAAGCAGAATTCTCAGCAAGCTCAAATGCAAAGATCAAAAAAGTTGCAAGTTGTACTTTTGAAGCATCCCACATGTGTGAGGTTGCACATGAAAGCTTCAGGCAGAGAACATAAATTTTGAAAGTAGAATTTATCAGTGTTTCAAACTGATTTTTTTTTTTTTTTTTTACGCAAACCAAAATGTTACATGTCTAATCAAAATAAAATATAAATGTGATACTAGGTATAGTCATAACATTGCCCAAGTGATAGAAAAGTTGGTGTCATATAAAGTACTGTAAGTAGAAAGGGAATTTCATTATTACCAAATTTAAATTGATCTGTCTCAAGAGGTGAACTTCCTGTTGCTGCAATATGTATCTTCTTCTATATCCTTAATTCAGCTAATAACCTGAATAGGGTGTTTTTTTTAATCATACTGCCTCAAATAAGAGTTCTAGCATAGCCATGATAAAGGCTGAAAAATATTTTATTGTCAAAACATAGTACCTTCAATTTGTCAGTCTGAAGCATTCTCATTAAATGAAGTTGTTAAGCACACGTAGGAGAAAATGAAAAGAAATGCCATATACAATGCATCCAGTGTTAAATTCTGTTAATTTTAACAGGTGAAATCCCCAGACTAGTATTGTATTTCTGGAGAGAGATTGATTGATTTCTGCTGAAATGTCTTTTAGCTCTGACTCTGCTTGTGAGGAATAGATTTGTCTAGTTTCTCCAGAGAGCTTTTATATCCTTTTAGTCAAAATCTGGCTTGATTTTTTGTCTTTTCGGTAGCATTCTGAAATCTGCTTTACTTGTAATTTTTGACCTGTACTTTATAATTCATCGTCTTTCCATTAAAAATGGTGTGTATGTGGATCTTGTTGTAGTGGGATATGGAAGTCAGTCATGAAGTCCCTGAAGTGTCATTTCAAAATCTGTTCACCCAAATACGTGTCCTTATTGTATAAGCTATAGTGTTTTTTTTTTTGTTTTCCATATTATCTTTTTGTAATCAGAAAGGTCTTCTAGAGGTGGATCAGAAATATTAGTGTCCTAACCTTCAAGTCCACTTTTATTTCTAAATAAGAAGTCTGCATTTGCAACACTGCGCTTTTTCATTTTAAATGTCTTAAGCTGTTAATCTGAAGAAGCTTTATTTCTAACTTTGATCTCAGGAACCCGTTTGTTTTAGTAAGCTCCCACATGAATACTGCTATATATGCATTTGTTAATTATTTTGTTATATGTATCTGTTAATTACAGTTTAGTTGCAACTTAAAGCCAGTCTTTTGGGTCCATATTAGAAACCTAATCTTTATATTCATGATCTGCATCTTATGAGGCAAAGGGTTTTTTTGTTGTATTCCTTCTACACTTATGTGTTCTTCCTTATTTTTCCTTGTCAGCCCTTGAAGTTATAGCAGTTAATAAGTAATAGTTGAAAGAAGAGGGTGTAGAAGTGGAAATAGTGGGGAACTTCAAATGTTTGCACCGCATGTTAATTCTCAGAGAAGTTTTCATTAGTTTCTTCAGAAATGATAAAATGAGAAAATCTGAAATACTCTTAGTCTACAAATATGCATAATTGGTTAGGAAAAAGACAATTGGCACTTGAATTCAGAAGGTAGTACTTTTTTTTGCACACTGCAAAATGGCTAGCAGAATTATCGTTCTTTAGTGATGATAATTTTTCAATGTGAAAAGAAGTCCAGTAGATTTCTTTGCTAGAGATCTGAATACAAGAGTTCCAGGTGTATGGACCATTAAACCTTTGCATTACTAAAATCTGAGCATATATATCACAAATGCAGAAGTTAATTTATCAGTTTTAAAGATACAGTGTTCATCCCTTCCCAATACTGTATTTCTTGATTTTAAAAGTACTGAGAAAGCTAAGTCCATTGAATTTGTGATCAGAGAGGTTGTACAGCATTTCCAGAAGGCACTGAAAACTCTTCCCAGTACTGTATACTATAGGCAGTGGTGTTGTCTCTGTTGAAGAAAAGATTTAAAGGTTGCTTGTTGCACTGCAGCATAATACTTTCTCGAAAATATATTGGAGATTTTAAAGAGAAATGTAATTACAATATAATGGGTGCTGCCTCAAAGGAGTAAGGCAGACACAAGATAGACCCTTTTCTGTAAAAATAACTACAACTTTTACTATAAGAGAAGTACCACATATCGAGTGTGAATTCCTGAGACTGTCTGTTTTTGAGAATAGTGTTCATTTTTGTTTATTGTTGTCATAACTTTGTCCCACTGGTAGTATCCCATACTATTAGGTTTATGATAAAATAGCCAATCTATCAAAATTGTGAATGGATTGAGTGGGCAAAGAGAACAGTACAATGGCAGATGTAATGATAAAGCATTCTAGACAAATCACAAATACTAAGTTTTTATATGGGTAGGTTTGAAGTGATGCCTGAAAAAGTCCTCAATTGTACTCACAGCATTTATATTAGAACTTGATTATGTCTCAGCGCAGTGTAAGTCCTGAAATAACAGGGGGAATACAGGGACATGGGATGGTTGTGCATTTTTTCTTGGCATTAGAAATGTTGGCACAGGCAGGAAGCAGCATGGGAGTCAGACTGGTCCTTCCCCTTGTACATGCAAGGATGTACAGTAGGCAGTTGAACACTGGGGAGACACTGAAGGCATTAGCATAGAAATAGCTCATTTGGATACTGAGTGATGTACTGGGCCTGGCTCATCAACCTCCCTGTCTAGTAGTAGCTTCCAGCTACCGTTCTGAGAAAGCTGGCCTGTTAGAGAAGCCAGACCTGGTAGACACTCTCTGTTTCCCTCAAAACGAGTTCTTATTGGATAGAAATGCTTGTCCACCAAACTCAATTGACCGCCAAATTCAGATTTTTACAACATGTACAGCAGTATTTGGGTAGAGGAGATGTGGAAACTGGAATGTTTTGTGACTTCTACCTACAGAACTAATGTTCTAGATTTGAAAAATTGTAAATTACAAGAGTATATTTTTATTTTTTTTTTTATTTCTCAGAGAATAAATCATGTTCAGTAATTTAGTCTTTGGGATTTTCTTTGGTTTGGTTTGCTTTTTCTGGTTTGCTTTTTTTTAAACTCTTTTTGGGCTCTCCTGTGCTGTTTCTTACTACTAAGAACCTCCCAAGGGAGAGACAGCAGTGGTGTTTTATTAAAGCCTAAGAGTTAGGGGAAGCTCTGTTAAGATGAGGCATTTCTGTAGATTCTGTGAGTGTGTGCTGGTGGTGTATGTGGGAGTGTGGCTGCTAATTGCCTATTACCCTTCAGTATAAGTATTCTTCTCTCCCCAGTGGTTTTATTTTCCTTTTCTTTCTTGTATTGAATTTGTTTCTTTTTGGAAAAGGAAGTTCACTTCTTTCTACTAAGCTCTAGAGAATGATGTTTCTTTGTTGTTTCCAATTATCTGCATAAAACAAAATACCTTCTGCTTCTGCAGAGAAAGTGAATCACAGAGTGAAAATGAGTCCATTAACCTCATTTGCACTGTTGGAGATAAACGGCTCTTGCGAGGTGTCTTAAGCTTGCACCAAACCACCTAGTAGTTGCCTAGTGCCCAGAGGAAATATTTGATTAGAGACATCATTTTTACTTGTTTCTATTTTACTGCATTTTTTTTTAATTGTATTACTTTCCATCTCCTTTTCACTGGCTTAAGGATTTGGTTTTAGTACGAGTGATAAATCTTCATTGAGAACAAAGGTATGCAGCATGCATCTCAGTCCACTGTGTGCTGCTTTTTCTGACAAGCAGAGATGAATAGACTATGCAGTACGTTTCCTTTGGGATACCAGTCCGTGGCATATAGAAAGTCCTTCTGTTCTGTATGCTTGTACAAAACACACTCTATCTGGAGTCTTGTTCTTGGGGTACAATTCATTTGTTTCTCAAAGTTGTGTTAGTCTAAAATACCATAGAATGAGAAGTGGTAGAAGAAGAAGGGAAGTCAAGTGAAAAGGAAAAATGTATCTTCCTCTGTGTCACATGTGCTGGGCTCTTCTTAACATGAATCTTCTCTTCTTAAAACCTTCCATTTATAATCAAATCCTTTGGGTGGCATGCCTACGTTTTGAATCAAGTTATCCATTGTTATCCTTGGGGGATTAACACCTGTTACAGTCATGATCAGACTTCCAAGATGGTGTCACTAGGATTTCAAAAGCATTCAGACTATCATAATCAGAAGTATTATCAGATGGAAAGGGGCTATGGGATTGTTTGGGTTGTTTGTGTTTTTTTTAGCTCAACTTCAAATGTGTTCATAAGAACCAAAGTAGAGTTGTTAATTATATGACAAATGAACAGGCCCCAACCAATGACAGTTCAGGTTATCTGTTACTGATACAGGAACCTGAAGTCCCTGCTGACATTGTTCTCTCTTAATCCTGCAGTTTACGACAACTTGATAAGGGAGAATGATGTTGGGTTGTATTTGCTTTAGTGCAAGTTGGTCAGACTTTTAATATGTCATGGTTTCAGTTTTGGTGGCCACTTGTTTCTCTTGCATATATAACTATGAGACAGGGGTTGAATTTGCATTTCTTGTGGAAAGGATGCTTGGAAATCTTTCTCCTCATGGTCATAGCTGTACTGTAAATGTAAATACAAAACCATGAGGAGAACACA